TATCCGACGTTCTTACGGTGAAGGAAAACATCGTGATGCAACCTGCACATATCTGAGAAGAAATTCAAAGATATGTGTGAAGTCAACCAACCCGCACTTGGCCAGCGTGGTTGACTATGGCCAAATCAACCTTAACTTAGGGTAGGCTCCGAGCCCTTTGGTGGGGACGTATAGTGAGCTGATGATGATGATGAAAGTTTCTAATCAATTTTTTTTCGGTCAGTTTAAATTTAGCATTCGTTCAATGTGTCTAAACTTTTTAAATCATACCGTGATACATAAAATCAAATTTTACACAATATGCTTATGTTAATAGCAAAAGACATTGAACATTGGAGTATATAAGAGTAATATATATCATAATGACATAGGTATATCCATTGTTGTCTATTCCGAATGCATTAACCTCAACTCCTCTCCAACAGCATTGCTTTTATGGTTTTTTATTACATATTAATATATGTTAGTTTTTGATTTGCATGTATAATAGTTTGCCTCATATTATATATAATATTTATTTGAGAATATTATTGTTGTTATAATATTGATGTATAATGCTTAGTACAAAACCCATAATTATAAGTAGCTGTCGCCCGTGACTCTGTACGTGCGTTATTAAATACTTAATTAGTAGCCTATGTGTTCTGTCAGACAATGTTCTATATGTATGCCAAATTTCAGTGAGATTCATGCAACCGTTCTGAAGATATCTTCCAACATCCGTCAATCCAAACATTCACATTTATAATATTAGTAAGATAATAGTTGAAAACAAAAAGGACATATGTTGTAAGTTTATGTTATTTCTAACTAATATTATATATGCGAATGTATAGATGGATGGATGTTGGTTTGAAGGTATCTCCAGAACGGCTCCATACATCTCTTTGAAGTTTAGTATACAAGAAAAACGTAGTCTAGTAGAACATGTAGGCTAATAATATTTTTGTTAATCCCGCGCGAATGGAGTAACGGGCGAAAGTTAGTCTTTTTATATTTAAAATGACTATGGGTTTTTTTTTTTAAGTTTGTTCACATTTGATTTGGTTATGATTATTATCAAAGAACTTTAAAGAAAATGTTAACAAACTTTATTATTTTGAGGTGTTTGAATGTTAATTACTATTAAAAGTTAACTTCGGAAATATTTTTTTTTCATACACCTCAATCGATACATAATGTGCAATCGCTCAATATATTCAAACTGCATTCTATGTCTGTTTACACTTAAAGCATATAATTTCTTAACATATGAGAGACATTTCTTTATCTAAGAACTCGCTTCATTCTTTCTCCTGAGTGTTCATTGTTAGTCATTTTTCATTCGACATAAGGGAACATACACATACAACTTGACCTATTTTTTTTTAGTTTTATCGACCCCTCCCTCCCCTCGGTGACCACTCGTAGTACATGCCAAGACCCCTTTAATTTTTACGTAGTAATTCATAATTATGATTTTTAATCATTCCACAGGCAAACATTGAAAAAAAAATAATTTGACTCATACTCTTCTTTATAGCATAAGACTGAATGCATACTTAAATTACTAGTGAATTATGTATTATGAAAAAAAAACAAGTAACGACTACGTGACTAAAATCTGAGCCACCCCCCGCTCCTGTGACTGACCGTAGTAATTTAAGGACTCCCCCCCCTAAACGGGTCACGCAGTATGGGTACGTTCCCTAACGTCACATTAACAATTCAGACCAACTTTGGATGCAGTGTATTATTTCAATCATAAATATAAGTATTGCAAATTACATAATTTTATCTAAGATATAAAAGAATCTCTAAAAGTATAGTGTAATAACAAGTGACCTTTTCTCTATAAATTCTGCCAACCCCAACTGTATAATACAGATGTTTTATGCTTTCTCTTTTCAATTAAAAAAACATCGAAAAAGAGACTTATTTTTTTTTCTATTATAAAGGTTACTCTTACCTATTGATGTTCTATAAGTGGTTAGGAAAATGCTTGGAAATGACAGTTTTCGTTTTGTCCCGATTTAAAAGCGCTTGTTGATGTTACATTATAGTTACTTCTTCATATTATTACTTCGAATCCACACCACCGCTACTATCAGCGCCAAAATGCTGTAAATCAAATAGGCACAAAATACCACACCTTATAGCCAGTCCATTTATAAAGGTGTGCTCTCGATGCTCTTGCCCGATGATATCGCTTATCTCGCTCATTTTAAATGGACATTGAATCGTTTATAAAGGTTTTATCGCTCCAGATTAGTTTATAGCAAAGTATAATTACGATGTACTCTGTCGCTCGCGACTCAGTCCGCGCAGAATTAAAAAAAACTTAGTGAGTAGCCTATGTGTTCTTCCAAACTATGTTCTACATCTATGCCAAATTTCAACGATATTCATACAGCCATACTGGAGATATACATCCGTCCAAACATTCTCATTTATAAATTATTATTCATTTATTATCCTTATTGTTAATATATTAGATTTCATATAAAAAAAATATATATATTATATTAAAAATAGAGCACGACCGGCTGCGGAGTCCCTTGACTCAAACAACCAGTGATCAGGGCTGCAGAGACAGGAACCTTCTCACGATGCGTGCGGTTTCTAGGATAACTGCCTTTTGTATCGGGCCCTTAATCCAACTGTTTAGCGAGAGCTTCTTGATATGTTGGTCGAAACTTTATTTATAATATTAGTAAGATTAGCAATACTTATATTTGTGGTGAAAGTTAGTGGGTTTGTGGTATATTATAAAGAGAACGTTTACCGCTCACCGCACGCGGCACGCGGCTCGCGGCAGGTGGACCTAACGCATACAGCCCACGTGTCGACGGTAAATTTATTATATATGTTTGTTTGTGCAACTGCTATGCTATGACATTCTTAGCTTTATTCTAGTAGAGGTTACTTTTTAAACTCATCTAGTTATCAACCAAGAGTACTGTTTTGCACAAAAAATAGATTTTCCATAAATATACATTGAAAACATAATACTTTAAGATGTTTATATTTATTAGAATCTAAAGGATAAATGAAATACAAAGTTCCACTACTATTTTGATATTATTTGTCGTGTGTTTGTAAGATTCGAGTGGCTTGAAGTAGTACTGTTATTTTTCAGGAAGAAAAGTTAAACAATTATTTTGTTAATAGTAATTTTAAACAGCAAATACAACCCAGTAGTATTGTGTTATAATATTGCAATAAGTAAATAAATTTAAGGACAATACTTTTTATGATTGTTTAAAAATAATATAAGGTACTAGCGGACCCGACAGACGTTGTCTGACAATTTGACACTGCGATGGTAGCGCCGTCTGTCGGATCCAATGTAAAACATTCCAAAATCAACAACTACTAATAAATTAAAAATTAATTAAAAAAACATTGTCCAGCGGACAAAATTGTGAATGTAAACCATTCCCAGATCCCCTTGAACACACACAAAAAATGTCATCAAAATCGGTCCAGTCGTTTGAGAGAAGTTCAGTGACATACACACTCACAGAAGAATTATATATATGAAGATATATACTGCTTGGGAAATAAATGTTGCATAAATGGTCATATTACATCAAACATATGACTCTTTTATATGAATCCTGAGGAATATATCTTATATCTTTTCTGTTTTTGTTTATATTTTTGATATATTTCTCTATGTTTTATTTTCTTATTTTATCTTGATGAATTGACTGAAAAGCTTCAACACTTTTTGTATATGATATGAATTACAAAGCAGTGTTGCATAGCGTTATTGTATATAATACACTGTAGTAAATAATTGCTTTATTTCCATTTTGGAACATCCTGTATATCAAACTCATAACAATTCAATGCAAATTTATTTAAACATCATATTTGTGTCTCCCAATGAGTGATTTATACATTCCTAATATAATTATATTGAGATTTATTGTATATTTATTATAATTATATAATTATGACTTCTTTTGTAGATTCATAGGTTATTATGTAATGTTAATTGTACATAGATGGTACTAAAATTAGTCGGCAAATCTGAAAACCCTTAAGCTGGTTATTATTAAGAATTTTTTTTTTTTAGTTTAGTATAAACATAAATATGTTTTATTTGTACTATATTTTTAATAGATATTTATGTAAAATGTAAGTTACTTTATTTGCATTGTATTTATGGAATTTCTTACTAATAAATATGTATTAATATGTATATTTTGTATGTATAATTAATGAGAAGAACAATATGTGTTTATCTTGGATAAAGGTTGTATGAGTTTGCAGTAGCGTAGTGTATGATAGTGTATGTGTGTTGTATTGCAATGAGCATGTAGCGTTGCATGTACCCCGCTACTGCGGCCGCGCCCGCCGCGCGTTCAGAACCGCCACCGCTGCCGCCAAACCCGCTGCCTGCCGCGGCACTTCATTACCGATCTCTATATACAAAGATAGTATAAGCTCGTCGCTTTCAGTAGCTAGTTTGATCGTAAAGCTAGGATCTAGAAGCTTCTTTGGGCTCCCTTAATAATTCTACAAACACTTTACTCGATATTTTGTTTAATGTTTAGAATTGGTTATAGCTCTTAGCTTTATGTGTTGTCATCGGCTCTAGCTGGACAAAGTGACCGACACGACAGTCACGTACACACGTAACAATCGGTAGGCGAAGTTAGAATCGGTAAAGGTGGGCGCGTTCTGAACGCTGCAGCGGCGTCGCGCCCGCAGCTCCCGTCTCCTTCTGTCCGTAGGCCGTACGATAACGGCAGCCCGCGCTCGGACGAGCTCGCGCGTTTAAACCCCTGACGTGAGCGCCGCGCACAGGTCCAACCCGGGCACGCCGACCCAGCCGAGGCGCGCAGACTTCGCGCCCCGCGGCTCCCCGCAGCGCCGTTTCCTCTCCGAGGGCGAGCTGCTGCGCGCCGAGCCGCCCGCGCACCGCCCCACCGCAGACGACATCCGCGAGCTGGCCGCCTCGCCGCAGCGCGGCTACACCTGGGCCGAGCGCCCACCGCACCCCGCGCACCCCGCGCATCCCGCGCACGCCCAGCCGCACCCCGCACACCCCGCGCACCCGCCGCACCCCTCGCCGCTGTCGAGGCGGCGCACGCCCGCCGTGCCCTCGCACCCGCACCCCCCGCGGCCCGCGCGGCCGCTGTCTTTCGTGCGCGCGCTTGAGGTGCAGGACCAGCTGGAGCGCGCGCCGCCCGTGGAGCCGCCCGACCGCGCTTCCGTCTACGACTGCAACTACGAGATCTCCGTCTGAGGGCGGCGCTCACAACGCACAACCCACGTCGCAGCCGCACCACCCGCACCAGCCGCACCGGCCGCCGTCACCAGTGGACACCAAACTGTGAACGATACGAACGCGCGAGTGATGACATCAATAATGTGTTATTAGTGTTCAATACGAGTAATAAAACTTTTATATTTATGTATATTTGTGAGTAATACGTATTCGTTAATATTTAACTTTGTGGTTTCGACTGTAAATATTATCACCACAGTTTGTTGTGAATTTGTATTAGCGATCGAGTGCGTGAGTATAAGCATTTTGTTTATATAACTTGAAGGTTCCCTTTTAGTATAGGATTTGTTTAAAAATAAAACTCTACATATATAAAAATTAAATGTTATGAAATGCTTACAGTCTCAGACTAAGGACAAGTTGTCTCAACTAATGAGTATGATATAAGTATATAATAGATAGCACCGCAATGATGTTGAATGAGTTAAATATATAAGAATGTCTCGGACCACGTTATCGTGAGATTGACTGGTGAAAATGTCTCAATTTTCTTTTAGCTGGAATTTGACAAGTGCGGACGTTTAGAGGTTGCTTTGGTGTGATTTTTCTACTTCTTGTTACATCATAGAGCAAACATTTTGAATACTTCTGAAAAAAGTGATATAAATAAGTATTTAACTTAATTGTTACAATGATTACTTACATCACAAAACTATGGAAATCAATACTATGTAAAAAAGCAAAGAAGTAGAAAAATATGAAACCAATGATAAAGTGCCAAATATTCAGTAGATGGAGGGTAGATTAAAATTGATTGCATTTCAGTTCCTAAATTGTTTACAGACAAATCTCTTTAAACCTTTCCTTTGACGCAGATTTATAAAGCATTTAAATCCCTGTTCACCAAAAAGCATTTATTGTTGACAATATAGATTAAAAATATGACATGTTTTGGCATCGATATTATGTTATTGTGAAGATAAGAACATTATGTGCTTGTCTATAGGGGCTATAAATATTGTTCATATCAACAGACGGTAGTATACAATATTTTCGGCCATGTACTATATTAATTTTGCTTTTGCAATTTGATGGTTCCTATGTAGACTATCGTAAACCACAATTTTGAAATTTACCCCCTGGTTTTTTTTTATGAACGTGATATACTAGTTTCTGTGTAAATTTTAAAGTAACGTTAAAAAGATGAATAAGTGTAGATTTTGGTTTTTTCTTGCAAATTTTGCATTTCGAACATATGGTAGTTTACATAGATGCCATCGATTTCTTTAACACGTTATATGCAACTGCTAATTTCTCATATTAAAGTGGGCTCGCGAGGCCAATCGGCAGTGAATGTGTTAAAGTTTACGTTGAGCAAAAGCAAACAATTTTTGTTAAAAGGTTTTGATTTTGACAGTATTGATTCCGATTAAAATTAATAGGTTGTAAAGGTTTTTCTTTTGGTAATATTTAGATTATTTGCTAATGTGATTTTTAATTCGGCTTATTAAAGGGCCAATTTAATTGACATTTGCATTATTATAGTATAGGTAATGGTTTCAAAACGAAAATTAAACAATCATGGCCCTAGATCTCATTGTTTCGAATTTGTTATCCAATGGTCCATGAGAAAGTACTTAGGAACTTTTAGTTTAATAATGTTTTTAATCATGTATCAGTTTTGACATACAAATGTACGGTGACACTTTATATGTTTGTAGATTTAAATTATAAATAACTCGGTCTACGGAGACTGAGATTGTATATTATAATAGAGTGTATTTTAATAAAATATATCAAACAAATCTACAAATTTGTATATACATTTAAATGTAGATTTTTATAGTTTGTATCGACTTTCTATATTATAAATATATATAGCTAGGTATATAATGGTTTGTTATGTAACACTAATCAGTCCTGTTTTCACTACTGTTGGATATGTTTTATTAGAAGGGATTTTTTATTTGTAATCATTAAGACTAAGATTGTAAATATATCTTAATAAAATGTGGATTATTTAAATATAAAGTTGTATAGATTGTGTATTAGAAGTTACGGTTGTTACTATTTGTATATTGATGTTGTTTTTATTTATATTTATTTTGGGTGCCAGTAAACAGCTGATTCGGTTTCTCCTTTAGACTATCTGTAGGATTTACCTCGGACAATGTTTCATTTTAATTACGAATTAGGACATTTTGTTGTAGACAATTAATAGCAGCAATTATAACTATGTTTTATTGTATAATTTGTATAAATATTTATTTATATAACAAAGTATAGTTCATTTCATTGCAATTAAAAACATAACCTCTAATAATTTTGCATAGCATCTACGAGTCCATTTTTTAAATGTAAGTTGTTTTTTTTTTCAAATTAATCTTTGTTTTGTAGAGTTTAATTTAAATATTCGCTTAATTAATTTTCTGCGACAAAATGTTCAAATGTATCTGATTAGCAATACGGCCTATTAAGAGATTATACTAATATCGTTGAACACTCTTTGGTTTAACTTTAAATATTCTGCCGCTATATTTCACACATTCCCTATTTCAAGACTTTATTTATTAGCCTATTACTGTGTTACATTTCATGCGTACTTAATATTCTTGACCGTGACATGACACCCCATCCCATATCTGTCACATTTAAAATTAATTTATGTTTTTTTTTCTTCAAATCTGACGGTGACATAAAATTAATATGTAACTTTATTAAGAATCTGATTATTTAATAAAGCATTATAAATAAAAAGTTATTGAAAACCGCGCCCAGATGTTTGCCGATGACTCCCCCAACAATTAACACCGTGCTCGTTATTCTTAACGGGTGACGTCATCGACGTGAGCTTCTGGGCAGGAATAATAACTGACGTTGCCTTTAGTGAGTTGCATAGAAAAGAAAAAATACGTTTGTATTTTAGTGAGTTCGCAGTGCCGAAACATGTTTACGTCATAAGTGACGTCACGAGTTAGTCAGTTTGTCGATGGGAGCTTACATTTAGACTTTTTGTTATTTGCAATATGTTTGAATCTTCCTGTAATATAAAATAATAGATGTAATATATCATTGAAGTGTTACTTTCGTTTAATTCAATTATTGCAGTAAGTTAAGTTGTCCATGGTAAGTGTTATATAGCTTTAGTTTCACATTATTCATAGCTCAAAGTGTGTCTGAAGGCGGGTGAAAACAGTTCATAAATTAAAACGTACTGCATCATAGTTACCTAAGACAATGTATATATTTATAGTATTTCTTCAGATCGTTATTACCTACATGTACGTGACAGTGTTTTATTTTTGTATTTTGATAAAATTTGTGTAAATAATTTTCTTATTTTATTGATATTAAACTCAATTATCAAGCGGTGTTGGTTTTTTTAATTAATTCAGATATAACAAGGTGGTAACAATAACCAAAATCTGCCTTATTTATGGATGTGGCACACTTCACGTTTTTATAGTACTTGTAGAAAGTGTACTAAGATATTATTAAAAAATCAACAATCTCAACCGACTTCCCTTTTACCCCACTCTTCAAAATTGGTCCAGACGTTTAGTAAACATAGGCAGGTTGCAATAGGAATGGGCGAAAAGTTTAGCAAAACAACAAAATGTAGCAACTTTTTCATTACAGATGGCATGGGTGTCGCGGCCATTGTGTATTTTTTGATTTGGATTCGGTTTTTCATGGTTCTTGTCTAGCTATGGGATTAAAGTGCTTCCCTCACATAATAAAAAATCTTTATTTTTAGAGGTTCTCCTTAATTTATTTTGTTCTTTTCATTGTAAAAAAATTTATTTACTTAGAACTCTATGATCATCTTTTTTAATCTGTTAAATAGTGACATTTCTTGTCTGTGCCTGTCAGTTGCCGATGCTGTCTTTTTATTGTCGACAGGTATATGGGAATGTGAGTTTTGTAATTTTTCCGAAATAATCCAAAGAAATCATAGTGAGCAATTATTATTTATTAATAAATACCTATCTACAGTGTCAATTGTAATAAATTTAAATAAACCCATGATATATTTACATGATATTTCTACTTAATATTTGATAACAATATAAATACAGTGCGAATTGTGTTTATGGTTGAAGTTTAACTTAGTACAGTATAACGTTTTATGAATAAACTGTAACTTCATAAATAGCAAAAGTTCAAAGTGATATTATTTCAGTATTAAGTGGATTGGTACTTTGTATTTATTTATGACATCGAAGTTTGAAGGTTAGTTCTCGTGCCTTTCAGATCCATCCAAGATGGGTAAGATAATGAAGCCAGGTAAAGTGGTGCTGGTCCTCAGCGGCCGGTACGCGGGCCGCAAAGCCATCGTAGTGAAGAACTACGACGAGGGCACGTCAGAAAAGCCATACGGTCACGCTTTCGTCGCCGGCATTGACAGATACCCACGTAAAGTTCACAAGAGGATGGGCAAAAACAAAATTCACAAGCGCTCCAAGATAAAGCCTTTCGTCAAGGTAAGATCATTCAAATGTTTTGATTATATAGAAAACTGTCAGTGAATTGCTTCATTTAAAGTATGTGACTGATTATTGATTGCATTTATATTTCTAAATAAATGAGAGTCCTGTAAACATTAATATGGCAAAAGAGTAGTGGTCTATCTTGGGACTGTTATAAATTTATAAACTAAATGGTGATAGTGAAAATAGAGATAAAATGAATGGGAGATATGCTAACAAAATATATAAATAATAGTCATATTTATTTTTAAGCAAAGAAGTTATTTATGATAGTAAAATTCATTATAAACAATGTTTTTTTTCACTCATGGCACACTTTCACTGATAAAAACCAGATTTACAATATGTTTTGTAATAGAATAATGAAGTCATAAGTAGTTTTGTAATGTGAGAAAGCAAGTGTTTCACAAAAATTCCACCTAAAGTTAAGTGATGATGTGGTCGAAAGATAATACCAGCCTTAGTAAATGCCTATTGACTTGCCTACTCTTATAAGCCCTCACATCATACTTTAATGGAACAACCAATGCTGGCAACTTGTTCCAATCCTTTCCAGTAATTTAAAGCAAACTTTTTATGATTTCCAGGTTGTGAACTACAATCACTTGATGCCTACACGTTACTCGGTAGACTTCAGTTTTGAGAAGTTAAGCGCAAAGGACCTCAAGGACCCCGCCAAACGTAAGAAGCTCCGTTTCAACACCCGTGTGCGATTCGAGGAGAGATACAAGAGCGGAAAGAACAAGTGGTTCTTCCAGAAGCTTAGGTTCTAAGATATACATTTAACATAAAAAATACATTACTTATGTAATGGAAGGTTTGTTTTATTTTAACTTAAGTCTAAGTTATATCATTAATTGTGCCATTTCTGCCAATATTACCAATTTAATGTATAGACATGCTTACAAATCCATCAAAACTAGTTATATAGGTAAAATATGCTTCAATGGAAATAATCCATCCTTAATTTTAATATAAGGTTGTAGGTATTATTGCGCCTTTTTGTAGTTTAGAGAACTCTATGTATATCTTTCTTTTACAATTTCTCAGGCAAAGCTATAGAGTTGTAAGTTTACAAAAATTTGGAAATTCAGTTAAGCATTTTATTTGGAGTTAAGTTAGAATGTAAATAAAACAACAACAGCCAGATAATTGTTTATTGTGGATATTTCATAGTGCGCAACTCTGCATATATGTTTTCCTAATGCAATTATGATGAATCCAGTTAGTACAAGTTTAAGAAAGTTAAGTAAGGTTTTAGAGAAACTTCAAAATAAAAAAAAACACCATAGTTTTTGGAATGCTAATCAATCATAATATTAGTGTTTAAAAATAGTAATTTTCACTAAATTATTACTATATTGGGTTTCATAAAAGTTATTGACAATATCAGACAAATATATACATTTTGAATAAATGAAAGATGCAACGAAATAATTTAACACAAATCATAATATTTTTACTAACAATATACTAAAGTTACTGATATAATGAAGATACAAATTAAAAGTACTGATTGAGTTACAATTATTAAATAAATATTAAAAATAGAATATTTGTCATCAAAGATTTCTAAACATTCGATCTCCTTATAAATAAAGTAAGCACTTGTAACCAATAATTTCTATGTGAACAAGTGTTTCTAATTTTAGTTTTGTTTCTAAAGTTTCTTTTGTTTTTGCTCAACCAAAGGGTGTGAATTTATCCTATAATAGGCTTCAACTGCCCTAGCTTTCACCATAGAGCAAAAGTTTTTTTTTCATTTATTGAAATACACTTCTGATATATATTCATATTCAATATATTAAATGTAAATTCACTTGTTCTACACAGATAATTAAACTATAAATATATTCAAGCACATATGAGCACACATCAGGCTGCAGCTAGCTTGGAGATCCTCTCATCAAGTTTCCGTATTTCCTTGTGCAAGTTGTCTACATTATGTGCAAACACTTCTTGCACGCCTTGCAACAGCTCCTTGTTGTTGTGCACGCCACTAGCTACCGTACTTTGTAGGGTTTCTAACTCGGCAAGCGATTTCCCAAAGTTCTTTGCTGCAAGTATTTTAAATATTAGAAAAGCAAATTGTTAAGAAGTTTACAAGGACTGAAGTAAGCTATAAATATAATAGAGGATTAAAGATTACCGTGGTTGTGAAGGGCTTCCAGTGCCTCAATCCGTTCAAGTATTTCTGCATGCGACACACCATCCACTTGCTGCAGCAGCTTGTGCAACTCATTCACCTGCAGAGTTATTTTGCACTTTGGTACAAGTTTTCTACCTCTACAACTGTACTAACTGTTCACTTCATAGACAACTAGTCGCAACATAGTCTCCCGCAACTCCGTTCATGCAAATTAAAAAAAACCTAGCATGCCTAGCCTTTGTCTGAATCTGTGCTAAATTTTATCAAGATCCGTGCAGCTGTTCTGGGGATCCCTACTAACAAACATCCATCTTTGTAAACTTTCGTAGTTCTTTAGACCATGCAGTCTGTAGTACCTTAGCCTCAAGTTCTGGATTGGCAGGTTTGAGCGCAGCACGCAGGGTGTCGAGGTTGGCCAGTAACGCGGCAAGGCGCGCGTCGGCCGCCGCCAGCTCTGCCGGCCGTAGCAGGGCTGCGCGTGCCGCTAGCGTTGCAGCCGCACCGCACAGCGTCGCCTGAAAATATACTCATAATATCAACTCAACTCTTAATATATTCAATATCGTTATGAATTATGGAATTTGAATTGTTTACAATATCTTTCTAAATGACTGTTATAATGTTGCATATTTTAATCTAAAGCGGCAGAGTTTTGGTGTACAGTACCTCTCCGGTTGCAATTTGAAGTTTCCTGAAAGCTTCTTCATCTCTCACACCAGCTGCTTGCTCCAATTTGTGTAATCTGAATTAAAAACTTCCATTTTATTTCACAAACAATAAAATATTTAAATGTCATCACAAAAAAAATTATTGATATCTTCCAGATTAGTTAATTTCTATCACATTCAAGTTTTAGCTTGTTTAACAAGATTGGTCATAAAATTTGAATCTTGTAATACCTATATTCTAGTTGTGCTATACGGGTGGTCTGCGCTAGATTCACTTCTGGTTTCAGTTTAAGCTGAGCTGTCACAACCTCACCAGCCTTCTTCTTGGCATTTGTTGCTAAATATTCCCTGGAAAAATTAAATCATGAAATAAATTAATATATAGTAGCATGTTATTTCTACAAATGATAAATCTTGCAAGAACTTTTATTTTGATTGGAAAAAAGGAAATTGCGAAAAGAAAAACAATTCACTGACAATCCTCAAATAGGTTAATACAAATATCTTACTTTAGTTTTTCAGCTTTAGGATCGATCTGTTCCCCTTCTTCCAACTTTAACTCTTCAAGCAATTTCTTTGTAGAATTTATATGTGCTGCCAACTTGATGTGTTCATCCTAAAAAGATGGTAGTAGTAATTTCTTTTCTTTTAAATATAAAGTTACAGTTAATAGCAAAAGTTAACACAAAAGCATTTTTATCATTGAGGTATGAAATTATGTAAACTACCTTTTCACTCTCAGTGGCTTTATCTCTCTGCTCTGTGACTTGTTCCAATAGCTCTGAGAATTCACAGCGCAGTCTGTTGTACCGTTCCAGTGCAGTCTCAGGCTCACCTTCCGCCGCCAGTTCCCATTCACCAGCTCTTGTAAATTTTAAATGAGAATATTATCAATTATAAAGAGTAAAATTTCATTATTTTTATAAATTGGAATTAGGACAAGGCTAGATTATAATGTTAAGAGTGTTGTACCTGTATCCGATCCTCGTTTTTCTACTTAATCTATCAGAGAAATCAACATTTCCAGTAAGAAATTTTCCTTTAAACTTGTTAAAGGAATCCTTCACAGACAAATGCAGTTGTTCAATATTTTCATTCTCATCTTCCTCGAATGGTTCAGGTTGATCAGCTTCCGGTAGATCGCCAGTTTCGTAAACATCGGGTTGATCGTAGGCCTAAGAAATTACTCACCGTTAGAAAAGTCAAAATCGATTTTTCTGAATAAAATACTATGAGAACACTTACTATACCAGGCAGGTTTTCATATTTAGGATCTGCCATGTTAAGTTTGATCGATTTTAATACTTTTCACTCGTTTTGTGTCGATACGTTGCTATAAAATTATATTTTTTGTTTTAAGTTAAATAAATTGATAGAAATGACGTCAGATGTGCAAGTTTGGTGAAGTTGTCATTTGTCAATTTGACAGTACTTTTTTTCTTGAAAAGGTTAAGATTTGTAGACCCTAAAGTCAATTCATTTTAAAAAAGTAACACTACAGCTGAAACATCTTTAATGTAATTGTTAAAAAAAATTGTTCATTAAACATGCAGGGCAAAATATAAATTAATATTGAGTTTTTCGAAACCAAACGTGAACATTTATTTATAGAAATGAACCTGAATAAACTTTATTTTGATAGGAACACGTCATATGTCTGAAGTCTGTCATATTTGACTGTCTTTTAATGAGTCACGGATATTTTCAAGTCGGTAGTTTCGCAATTTTAATTTAATAAGTTCTCGTCATTCTAGTGCCGGGTACACAAGTGAGGTGCATATTGAAACAACGCGAATAAAAAAGGCAACATGAGTCTACAGTGGACAATAATTGCATCATTTCTATACGCCGAAATAGCCTTTGTACTTTTGCTAACTTTGCCGATTGCAAGTCCTTCGAAATGGCAGAGGTTCTTCAAATCCAAATTTTTGGCTTACATCAGCGGGCAAGCTTCAATTTACTTCCTTATTCTGATTGGAGTTTTGGTACTTTGCCTCCTAGATGCAATTCGGGAAATGCAAAAGTATTCAAATATGGAATCGTCAGATCATCAACACCTGGACGCCGAAATGCAAGGTAACATGCGTTTGTTCCGAGCGCAGAGGAACTTTTACATTTCTGGATTCGCGCTATTCTTGCTTATTGTCATTCGTCGTCTTATCCAATTGATATCCGAATTGGCGACTGTCCTTGCAACATCTGAGGCCAACTTCCGTCAAGCGCAAAGCGCTACCGTTGCTGCGAGGTCCCTTCTAGAGCAACAGGGATCAGGAGACGAGAAGAATAAGAAGGAAATAGAGGATCTAAAGTCTCAGATATCTCAACTTGAGAAAGACTTGGCTAAAGAGAAGAAAGATAAAGAAGCTGTCAAATCTCAAGCTGAGAGTTTGAACAGAGAATATGACCGTCTCGCCGAAGAGCATAGTATACTACAGAAGAAAATAACTGTAGCTAGTGGAGACAAGAAAGATGAGTAAAACTCGGAATCAAGATTAATAATAACATCAGATATCTGCTTAAAAGACATATTTAACCTTAAGTTATGTGGTACTTAACATGTCCAGTACCACCAAATTGCGTAGCAAGTTTTTTTTCATGTAAAAATTGTTGGGGCATGAAACATGCTGATATTTTGCAATGAATATTTTGTCTTGCAATTAACCCTTAGATGTTGTGGAACAAATTATATAAATTAAAAACATTTAAGTTTGTACCTTGTGCTTTTATCTTGGTGTTAATTATTTTTCATTTTCCTATTATCTATAACAAAAGGCTGAGGATATGTATTGTTTTGAATGCATGTGCGTGTTTATTGTTTTGAGTTTGTATAGATTTAGTTTTTATTCAAATATATGAGTATCCTAATTGGATATTATTTATTTTTATTTAACAGTTCAATTTACCAGAAATATACGATGTAACATCTTGGTAGTGCAGTTCAAGAAACATGTACTTTACATAAATCTTTTATGTGTGCAACCTTGTCTAAATCTCAGCATTTTTTTGACATTGTTTTCAGCTTATTTGCATTGTTAAAATTTAGCTAACATAGCACTTTTTCCTATGCATTGGTCTAATTATTTCAACTGTTTTCAATTTGCGGAATCTTAAAGCTGGTTTGTGATTTCATTTGTTTTAATAATTATAATTTTGCTTTGTGTATGTTTTGTATTACATAGACTTTATATACTAGAAGAATATAATCCAGTTGTACTTTGCTTTATATGTATCAGAAAAGGGGTGGGAATGCGAGAAGGATAACTATTTATAAATGGGAGATGTTGTTAAAATAAAATTGTATTTTCTACTTTAAATGTTGTTTTATTACATTTGAATTTTGATAATTTCTTCCGGATATTTCTAATAAAGTTGACCGATGTCCGAATCTGCCTCCTCTGATTGTAGTTCCTCTGATGAATTCTAGTAACTTGAACAATAAATTTAAATGAAAAAAAACATTCATAATCAATTGGGAGAGTATAGTAAACTTCCTTTGGTCTTTGGCAGTAAGAAAAAAGTATTTTCTTGTGCTATCTCTATGAGCTTCACTAGAATGATACTTGTATTACTATGTAAATCTGAATAAGCGAGAAACCTCTACAAGCGAGAATAATCCGGTCTCCACGGACAAGCTTCATAAACAAGACAGGGAGTACAGAGAATCTATAAATTAGAATATTGCGGTCCCCTGGATTCTCGCTTATATAGTTCACACTGTATTGTCATCCCTTCCTTTCTCTTTGTAAAAACAATATTTATTTAAACAAGTGTAAGAACAGTGTCGTTCTAGGGATAAAAGTAATGATTGTCTTATCTTGCTGACTAATTTCACTGCAATATAGCATGTTTGGAAATATTACTCATCACCATGATTATTAATTATTGTTATTGACGTTATTTATAACAGAGTGCAATAAGATAGTAAGGAAAAGGTCACAGGAGAAATAAACAATATTGTAATTGGAAATTATTATCGTGTGCTCGATTTAGATTTAGGGCCTAGCACATATAATATTGACAATCTACGTATCGTCATTGACAAATTAAAAGTTGTGCAGCGTATCGGTGTAAAGTACACCAAAAATTTCATATAATACTAATTTTGACGAAGAAGATTGTCACAAATATTCGTACTAGACCCAAAGTTGATTAGGAACTGGGATTGAAAGTGAAACACGTATTTTTGCTTATTATTAAAATAATTCTTAATCGCAATGAAATGTTGGAAAAAATATTTCTATGAATAACAGATGGCAAGCCAATGATTTATTTTTGGTAACCTTGGAAGATCATTACCCTTTATACTAGCTGTCTTGTAGTCTTCCATACTGGCTGTTACTAGTTGTCGCCCGCGACTTCTTCCACGCGGAATAAAAAAAATATTTTTTTGTCTATGTTTTCATCGAGACTATGTTCAAGATCTATGCCACGTTTCGGCGAGATGCTTTCCGATCTGATATAGCTGTTCTGGTGGTACCTTCTAACAAACATCCAACCATCCATACATCCAAACATACGCGTTTATAATATTATAACCTAGAAGAACGCATAAAAAACTGTTTGGCAAGGTTGCGTGTTGTGTTTGTATTGTGTTCTATTGACTGAAGAGGCGTAGGCATGCATAATTAAGCATTGGTAAGGCTTACTGTGAGTTTTCATTATGGAGACACTAGTTTTGACACATCTTGTTATTTATGTTTTTTCCAAGAGAATGTCAGAGATAACTATGGTGGTCATTACTTTTGTCTCAACAGTCGAAATCAACTGAAATAATATTTCTATATGCATAAAATTAAAAAAAAAATCATCAAGTAAATGTAAAAAAATAGATATTGTCTTTGATAACATTATCTATACAAATTAATTGGTAGTCATATCATTGTATGGATTTATCAATACTGAGATTATTAAATTAGGTCTTTTATTGTGAAACTTTTTTTTTATCTGAAAGGCGATTACTAAATCAAATTATAGCGACTGATTGGTGAATCCAGCGTTATTTCATAATAGAAAAATATTTAATTTTCTTGCTAATTTCATAAAAGCGAACAGATGTAATAAAAAAAATGTTGCTGGTGTGGCTGAATGAAGGAGCTGCTTTTGCCTGAAAACGGTCATCTTTATTCTGCCACTACATCTATAGACTACTATAAGACTACAAATACGACTAACCTTTTTTTTTCTCAACCATATAAGAAATTAAAAACCGCTACCAAATAATAACAGTTTTGAAGGATAATAAAAGCATAATAGTAAAAAGTATTATATTAAAATTTTTACTTAAAAATAATAAAACAATAGTATAATATAACACCAGTAAGAAGATATATGGAATTTATAATACATAAGGAAGTAAATATATGATTGTAGAAATAATATTAAAATGGATTACAGCTCATCTTTTATATATATGTTGTAGTTTTGGTTCTCAACAAATCCCAGGTTGTCCCAGAAGGAGCGGTTTCCGAAATCGGAACTCGTCTTCATGGTGACATCAGTTGGAGAGGCGATCTCTAAATAGTTAAGTTCTTGAGATCCAGGGACTACTGTCTGCCATTGCGGTACGTTGGGAATAGTTGGTACACTGAAAAAACAAGATCAACATCATCTCTCTATCCTTGTTTTACTTACGCGGGATTGGCCCAAAAGATTTTATAAACCTTAAAGCTGACTTAATTCTCAAGGCCGACACCGATTGTAAAAACAAGACCATGGATTTATTTAATTAAATTGGATGTAAACCTTAAGTATACATATTTTTAATGAATTTTTGTTGATCCTAGTAAATTGATCAATTTAGTGATGAAATAATGGACAAAGAAAAAAATAATAGCAATTTTTTTATTTACATTATTGCATGTGCTTCTTAACCAGGCGTTAACTGTCATGTTTAAATCCTATTATAAAACTTACCCTGTTGATGCATAACTGTAGATCATATCGAGAAGTATCTCCCTCATCTGCACGTCAGCAGGGGAATCCGAGCTGCCTATGAAGTTGAAGACTGACATCACATCGTCAGCGTGGCTTACACCTAGACATGAAACAGAAATAGCATAGTCTTATGTAATAGGCATCATCATCATCAGCTATACGTCTTCACTAAAGTGCTCGGAGCCTACTATAAGTTAAGGGTGATTAGGCCACAGTCAACCAACCACGCTGGTCTACTGCGGGTTGACTTTCACATATCTTTGAGTTTCTTCTCAGATATGTTATGTTGCAGGTTGCATCACGATGTTTTCCTTCACCGTAAGATGTCGGAAAAAGGTATGTAAATGGAAAAACACATTGGTACATGGCGAGATTCGAACCCAGGACTTGCAAATTACAAGTCAAGTGCTTAACCCCTGAGCCACCGATGCTCGCTTGAGAGTAGTATAAGAGCTTATTTCGTTTACACTAATTTCGAGTCGTTATTGGTTTATTTTTTTTTTGTTTTATGTAATAACATACATAGAATGTCTGAATAAAATATTACCATAGTTCTTATCATTTTGTGCCATGAGATTGGATAAGCTCAAGTTTCCTCGATAGGAATACCGGTACAGGTACGTGGGTTGTCCAGAACTGGCGTGTGTCTGCGCCAGTCTGCCCACGTCAGCTACGAACAGACGGTCACCTAAAGCCTACAAAGGAACGTGACCTTGAATCACAAGGGTAATCTAAAAAGTGGAGATTTCAAATTTATCTTGTCTTAAGTTTTTTGTTAATTTTTTTTTTCTTCTAGTCAAGTTCTATGAATTAAACATTAATTTGTGTACTTTAGTTATACATAAAATTTTACACAAGTATGCAAAAAAATATTACCTTAATTTGCGAAGTGTAAGGAATCGTTATATTTGATTCAAGGTCTAATATTTATAATAGAACGATTAGTTGTTTTTTTTTATAACAGAAAGGGGCAAACGAGCAGCGGGAACACCGAGATGTTCAACGACGCCCATGGACATCAGCAATACCAGAGGAACCGCGGATGCTTTGCCGTTGTTAATTCTGACCTGTACTAATTTGTCGAATGTGTCCTGTCCGACCGGCTTCCCTGCGAAGTAATGCTGCTTGATCTTCTCAGCGACAGCACTGCGGAGATGGAGCGGCAATGTGTCATTGTATTCAAAGATGTTGCTGGCCAGCTGCTCCCAGCGGGACTCTAGCTCCTTCAGGATCGTAGGGTCGGTTTGATAAGCTGAGAAACAAGTATAGTCCTTGCATAATACTATTCACATATGCCCCCGTTGATTAGGTTTAAGCCTCTCATAACTGAGTCCGTCATAATCCTTACTAATATTAAAAATGCGAAAATGCAAAAACTACTGAACCGATTAAAATGAAATTTGGTACACAGATACAGAGACAGAGATAGTCTGGAGCTTGGGAAAGGACATTAGCTACTTTTTAATGTGAAAAGAGGGTTGGAAATTTGTATGGAAGTATTGTCATTTTCCCAGATAGAAGCTTGAAATTTATTTTTTAGGTAACAACCTATCTATCTATCAAATTAACAAATTTGATAGAGAATTACACGGGAAGTCGCGGGCACAGCTAGTCCCGTATAAATAAGCTATAAGGTACACACAAAATTTACGTACGTGTAAGCCATATTTATTACCTGCAGCTGGGTACAGTCCCTCCTCAGACGTGACAGAGGTAATGAGAGGCGACTTCTGCACACCACCAGCTCTAGCCACGTGGTATGGGTACTGTGTTAGGAACGGGTACTTTGCGCTTGGAGCCTCGTGTGTCGGCGTGAACGGTGTGAACAGGTTCACCTTCCATTCCTGTTACAACGAGTTTATTAAATTAAAATCTGAAATTGATTCGCAGCAATTTACCTAGAGTTAGATTTACTTACAAACATTTCAACTTGTCCGTTGACAACGACTTCAGCGGGCCTATAACGAAGACAGTCTGCCATCTCTTTGGTGTTTGTTGTGGGGCAGCCAACAACCGCGGCGAGACTCCGCGCCTTCTGTGCAGGCTTCACTGAATGCGTCCATGACGCGAACGCGGCTCCACTGAACGCTATACCCCTGTGGAATGTGTCTGGAAAGAAATGTATCATATCATCATAATCAGCTCACTATACTTCCCCACCGAGGAGCTCGGAGCCTACTTTAAGTTAAGGGTGATTAGGCCATAGTCAACCACGCTGGCCAAGTGCGGGTTGACTTCACACATATCTTTGAATTTCTTTTCTGATATGTACAGGTAACATCACGATGTCTTCCTTCACCGTAAGAACGTCGGATAAATGTACATATGTAAATCAGAAATCGAAGAAAACATTGGTACATGGCGGGATTCGAATCCAGGACCTGCAGATTTCAAGTCAAGTGTTTGACCCCTGAGACACCAAATGTATCATATAGTACCATCCAAAAGGATGAAGGTACAACAAAGGAGAGGGCACAAACCTAATAGACAACAATTTATATTTACTTAAATGTTTAATGCAATTATTTTTGAACAAATATTATATGTGCACACAAGGCGTGAGTAATGATAGATATTATTATAAGCACCAAGTGAAGGTGAACTGGTTACGTAGTGACAAAGTACACTGTTTGTGTACAGAGATAAGTGTGATAGCTTGCGACAACTAAACGACTGAGGGGTTTCAATGTTATTAAAACACATAGGTTATGTATATTGTCTTTTCTTTCATTCTCTTTGAAAAAAAAAAGAGACAGCGTTTCATTTTTCTATTTGTGGCAATAAAACTGGCTAGTTTATTTATCAGCTGCTGTAGTTGTAAATTTTTACATGATTTTTTTTAGCAACATATTTTTTAAATTGTCGAGAAGATACAAGAACTTTGTATAGTTGTGGATTATTTATATTGTTATCTTTGCAAATCAAGACAATGATCTTTCGGCCATGGAATCCCACACTAAGAGTCGAAAACTTGTGCAACTTTCCACAAAGTACGCACGGAATTAAATGTGGCTTGTTCTACATGTCACAACACTTCGTATACTTTGTATATTTATTTTAGTAAATATAACTTCTTATCTTAATCTTAATGTAGTGGGAAATGTTGTCTTTGGTTGTTTATTATTCAATATTTACAAGTTTAACAAACATGTAGAGATGACAGATAAAATGCAATGACAAAGGTGAGATATAGTGGTTTGGTTTGTGGTTTGTGCAATATAGAAGTCGGTTCGATGACCCGCTAGCTGTCGACTCGAAAGTCGATTAGTAGCTTATGTGTTCTTCCAGGCTATGTCCTACATGCCTAATTTCAGTCAGATCTATGTAGCTGTTTTGGAGATACCTTAGAACAAACATCCATCCATCTACATATTCATATTTATGATATTAGTAAGGTAAGATATTAATTTTAATATCTTACGATGTATGTATTATAGTTAGTTGCTTTTGAAAATATCTCAAATTCGAAGTAAAATTCAATTAACGAGGAGGTTTATCAGTGTTATAATAACAATAATGCTATAATCCTTTGTTATTATTTATAAAAAATTATCTTTATAATAAACTAGCCGTCGCCCGCAACTACGTTCGCGTGGGTATATAAAAAACTTGATTAGTGTAGCCCACCTATCGATCTATCTTACTTACTTATTATTCGCATTTTTGATAAGTAAGTTAAATAAGCTCTTCAAGGCATAAATTCGAAAAAAATAAATAAATAGTACCCTATGTCCGTATCCTGGCTCTAAGCTACCTCCTCAACAATTTTCAGGCATATCGGTAAAGCCGTTCTTGAGTTATAAATAGCGTAACTAACACGACTTTCTTTTATATATTTAGATATGAAATTTTAAGCAAATGGTGTTACTAATGTGTTTATAGTACTTTAGTATATAGATTGGCTGTCTTTTGATAATTTATTTACTGTCATGTTGTCTTGTTATTTTTATTTTATATATTATAATAACTGTGATGATATCTTTATCTCAGAGCACACGTACACACACAGTATGTTGGATGCGGTAGGCGAAGAATCGCATACTGGGGAAGGCCTATGCCAGTAGTGGGTAGACAAAAGCTGACGATGGTTATGATTGACCAATAATTAACATGTTGTTTGGAAATAAAGGTAAAACTTTTTAATGAGTTTTGTGATTCTAAAAAATATTATAGACTAGCTATCGCCCGCGATTCCGTCCGCGCGGATTAAAAAACAAACTTAATATATGTTCTTCCAGACTATGCTCTATATCTATGCCTAAATTCATTCATGCAGCTGTTCCGGAGATACCTTCACACGAACATCTAAACATTCGTATTTATAATATTATTAAGATGTAGAAGAAATATATTTGAATAAATACATACCTCTAGACATAGGTGATAGATAATGATAGTGCACACTAGCGCCGCCCGCGGAGCATCCCGTCAACGTGACACTATCAGGGTTACCACCAAACATCATGATGTTACTCTTCACCCA